ATGCTGCTAAATAAATGGCTTGGAATCTGATTCTTCATTTCCTCACTTCTCGCATGTGTGACATGGGCTAACCGGAGACCCAGATGGACAGCCTCACCCCCATGGCCCGCAGCAGACCCACTGCAGTCAGGTGATGGGCGTCAGGTGATGAAGGGTTGAAGGAGGGGACACCTGGGAGGGCTGCTCGTAAAGCGTTCTCACAGAGCCTGGCCCTGTGCTGCCTTGCTCTCCTCCTGCCCCTCTGTGCTCTGAGGAGAGATCCTAACGGCCACTGCCCTTAAGTTTGGGGAAATTTCAGACTGGGGTCCTTTATAGGCAGGTTCTGGGGCAATAAGGGTGGGGAGGGGCTGTGGATCTGGATCTCTGAAATTCACAGACATCCTCCACTCGCACACTATATTATCCTTTTTTTTTTTTTAAGAGAGAGAGAGAGAGAGAGAGAGAGTGAGAGTGAGCAGGGAAGGTAAAGAGAGAGAGAGGGAGACACAGAATCTGAAGCAGGCCCAGGCTCTGAGCTGTCAGCACAGAGCCCGACACAGGGCTCGAACTCATGAACCGTTAAGATCATGACCTGAGCTGAAGTCGGATGCTTAACCGACTGAGCCACCCAGGTGCCCCTCGCACACTATTTTAAAGTGTGTGTGTTTATTACAAAAGTACAAACTTGCTGTGAAAACAGCAGACATCACAGTGCACAAAAGAAAAGTCCAAAGTCCTCCTCCAGGGGTGCCTGGGTGGCTCAGCTGGTTAAGTGTCTGGCTCTTGATTTCCACTCAGGTCATGATCTCACAGTCACGAGATCGAGTCCCGAGTCGGGGTCTGTGCTGGTTATGGAGCCTGCTTAAGACTCTCTCTCTCTCTCTCTCTCTCTCTCTCTCTGCAAACCCCTCTCAAAAACAAAAAAAGTCCACCTCCAGCTGGCCCCCTGCCCCAGTCCACTGTCCAGAAGTCAATCCTGTGACTGACAATGGGAGGCCTTCCGTCCCAAGGGTCCCTCTCAGCTGGCCTCTCTCCAGGCCTGTAATCCAGAGTCCTAAGGCTCACAAACCTCTGTTCTTTACACCTGCACACCCTCTAGTGGGAATGCTTCACATAGCGAGGTGAGGACGTGGGTGGGGGGCAGGCAGGTGGCAGGTGTGGCCCAAGGCCCCTGGGAAGTGGGCATCCCAAGATGGATCTCACCTAGTTTCCACCATACCCCTCTGTCTGGCTAAGTGGGTTTTTCCCACCCCAGGGATAAGAAGGAACCAGGAACAATGCTACTTGTTAAAAAAAAAAAAAAAAAGAAAGAAAGAAAAAAAAAAGACACCAAATTTATTACAGTAGCGATCCTAACAAGCCAAAGGCAGCTTTCTCACCGAGAGGTAATAAGCCCGTAATGCGATAAGAACCATTTATGGGAGCCCTTATTAAGTGCCAGTCATTGTTTTACTTCTATTAATTTGTATAATTATCACAACACTCCCCAGAAGTAGTACTGTGGATATTTCTCTTTTCTAGAAGAGGGTGCCGGAGCTCAGGGAGTTCACCACGGGAACAGTACGTGCAGTGGTTAGTAGTTCAAGCCCTGGAGCCAGACCACCTGCGTTTGCCATCCTTGTTCTGCCACTTACCAGCTGTGTGACCTTGGGCTTGGGTTATAAACCCCCTGTGCCTCAGTTTCCATTCTTGTAAAATGGGGATGACGACAGAATCTGCCTCCGAGGCTGGCCGTGGGCATCAAGTGAATAAGCGTGTGTGTCAAATGCTTGGCACAGAGAAGGCACTCAATAAGTGTGTACGTTAGGATTCATTGATGGACCCGAGTCTCAGTGCGTGACTGGTGGAGGAGGAGTTTGAACCCAGTTCTTCATACTTCGAGACTTGTGGGCTCATGCACTATGTAGGGCTGCCAACCTAGAGCCCACCAGCAGAGCCCCAGGTCTCACTGATGTGAAGATAACAGGAGTCTTCCCTGAAAAGCCAGTGACTCCTGGGGTGGGGAATCACTGGAGGTAGGGAACACTGTGGGACTGCTGGTAGGGGGAGAGGCCTCTCTAGGCCAGCCTCTCCTAGCTGTTGTTCCTTCCTCCTTGGAAAAGAGCCTCCAAGTCCTCTGCTCTGTCCAGTGGCAAAGAGGCAAAAAGGATGGGGATTATCTACCCTTCTGGGGATCCTTGCTGAGTCTAGTTAGGATTGTGATCCAAAGACTCAAATATTTCCCAATAAATACTCCCTAATTAGGATTGTGATCCAAAGACTCAAATGCTCCCAGATACTCCCCATATGGCAAATGATGTGATTTCCCGGGCCCCTCCTAAATGTGGGAGCAGATAGGACTGTCTGGAGTTGTGATGTCCAGCCTGTCCCCAAAGATGGGAGGGAGTTATGAAATGAGGGAAAGGACAGTCCAGGCAGAGGGTAAATGTGAGAAAAGGTAGGGAAGCTAGAGACAGCAGCAGAGACGGGATCGAGTTCGAGACAAGAGGTGGCAAAAAAGGAGGCTTGCAGAGGCCAAAGGTGGTCGGAACTTGATTTCCATAAGCTGTCAAAGAGCTTGAGCTCTCTTTGGTAGAAAATGGGGAGCCACTGAAGAGTCATGAAGGGAGGAGGAGACAAAGGAAAAGTTTTGTCATCTGTAAAATAGGGTAAAATAGTACCTGCCTCTTAAGGTTATTATAGGATTGAGTGGGATGATCCACATTTAGTCTTAGAAATGATGGCATGTAGAAAATGCTCAATAAATGTCAGTGATGCTGCTGCTGCTGATTGCAACGTCCTGTTAGGAAGAGAAACCATAAAGGTCCAGGCCACCAAGGCAGTACATAAAGTGAGTGAGGCTTCGCTGGGTAAGGGGAGACCAAGGCCAGCCTCACAGGGCAATCCAGTTAGACATGGACTTGTCCACCTGCTAAGCTCCTCGGTATGGCTCACAGCCCTAGGTGATGTGACCTCTTTCTCACTCACTAGGTTCCAGCCACGTTGTCTTCTTCCTGATCTTCGAACATGCCCAACCTGGGCCTTTCCCCCTATTGTTGCCTCTGTGTGGGAAGCCCTTCCCCCACACTTTCTAATGGCTGCTGCTTTCTTGTCATAAAGATCCTAGTTCAGGTTTCTCCTGAGAGGCTTTCCCTGAGGCCTATCCAGCACCTCAGACTTATGACCAGACCAAATGATCTTACTTGCTTTCATGGGTAATGTTTGTTGCTCCCTGTGTCCTCTAGGTTGTAAACTCCACAGGGGCACAATTACATCTTTCTTGTTCACTGCTGTTTTCATAGGTCCTCTGACACTGCCGGGCATATGGAGACCCTCGATAAATGTCTGTCCGAAACTGATGGCCTGAAGTGATCTCTAGTAGAGATTCATGCCTTTCAAGCTGTTCGTGGGAAAGGTGGCCTATCAAGCTGAGATCAGCTATTAGCAGAATGGAGTGGATTCAGTCTGATGACAACTTCATGGAAGTAGGGTCTGGGGGTGGAGGGGAAGGATACTTCACAAAACAAAGTAAATTCTGATGGATGAGGGCAGGGGGACAAGCCCAGGGCAATTCCCACTATGGGGAACTCCTTGGAACTGTGATGTTTCCCTATGTGACAGGGGAAGTGGTAGGGCAGAAAGGGGCTGGGAGAACTCAGAGGCAAGGCCTATCAGAGGAGGTGCAGAGGTCCATTGTCTGAGGTCTGACATTCCATCAAGGATCTCAAATTTAGTCCTTTGACATGATCTCCAAAAGAGGTTGTACCTAGTCACAGACACACCGGTAGGCTTTAAGAAAGATGTTCATTTGTACAGCTGTAATTACAAAACCCAAGTAACAAGAACATTTTAGAACTCATCTTTTAAGACCTACTTACAGCATCTGACACTGTTATTTTCCTTCTCCTTCTCTTCACTTGGCTTACGGAACACTATGCTCCTGGTCCTACTTCCTCAATGGCTGCTCCTTCTCAGTCTCCTCCTTTGGTTTTTATTAATCTCATCTCTAGCTTTTAAATGTCTATCTCCAGAAGGCAGCCAGAGGGAGCTCTCAGGGCCTTTGTACCGGCTGAAACACTCTTCCAGGCTGAATGCCTCACTGCAAGTCCTTGCCTAAATGTCAATTGTCAGTGAGGTCTCTTCCCTGCCACCCTATTTAGTACCCCACTTCCTCCAACCCTCTACCCCTCTTTCCTCCTTTAACTTTATAGTTCTTATTACCAAATGACCTACTACATGTATTTCTTGTTTAGTGGTGGTCTCTGGTGACAAATACGTTAGTGCCAGGAGAGCACCAGTGGAGTAGTAAACGCTATGTTTACTGCTGTACCTCTTTTGTCTAGAACAGTGCCTGACACACTGTGTACTTGAATGAACGAAGAGAAGTTTTGTGACGTTTCAATTATGCACGTTTTCATTTAAAAATATATAGGGAATTTTACAAGCGGGGCCCTAGACTATTTAAACATGAGAGTCTAAAGCGTGATTAAAAAAATTATCCGGAAAGGATCGTATAGTTAGTGCAGGTAACCACGGTGGTTTGCCTCGACTAACAGTTAAATCAAAAGGCAGAGCAGGCATCCAAGACACCTTTTCTTGAATTAATGACCCTTTGGGAGTGCGGTACTAGTGTGTGGAATCTGCAGGGGTGCAGCTTGGTTGTGGTGCTAGGAGAAGCCCCGGGGGTGCAACGGCTCAGACCCATTCGTACGGTGGGATGGAACTGGGTCAAGTTAACCGCAACAAAACACGCAACTCCACCAAAGAAAGCGAACCAACCTCCGGATCAGGCTCTCGGACCACGCAGGCGCAGAAGGACCCGGGCGGAGCCTGCGCAGCCGCAGAAGAGGCTCGGCGGGCCTGAGCAGCCACAGAAAAGAGCGGGCGGCTTGGGGGCCTCCTAGATCCCGCACTGTTTCGCGCCAGGTTTGAAGCAGCTGAAGACGGGCTGCTCTGGTCCCCGAGCCCCGCACCGCGGCGGGTGAGGCCGGCTCCGCTACGCATGCCTCGGGCGGCGAGCCCTCTTCTGAGCCGCCGCCATCATGCTGCTGCCTGTGTTCACCCTGAAACTGCGCCACAAAATCAGCCCCCGCATGGTGGCCATAGGGCGCTACGACGGGATTCACCCGTGCCTGGCAGCCGCCACCCAAGCGGGCAAGGTAACCGCTCCTACCACATCGAGCCCGGGTCCCTAGAGTCCCCAGGATCTCCGCAGGCCGCTCCGATGCGACCCGCCCCTCACCCTGCGACCCCGCCTCCAGCCACGGTTGCCCGGCGACCGAGCGGTAGCGTCGGTAGCCGTCCTTCCCGCGCAGAATAAGGAAGAATAATGGGGTCTCGCATGAAGGGCTTTTTTAAGCACTTAACTTTACTTGTCTTCAGGCATTTAGACTTGGACAGTGTTGGAGTTCCTGTGCAGATAGGGAGCTTGGGGAAGAAAAGTCCCCAGAAGGGAAGGGGCTTGGTCAGGGTTAGGAGTGGTAGCCCACCCCAGAGTTGAGTCCAGGGTCTCTGCCTGTCACTCTGGAGCTCCTTCCACTATTTTATATTGCCTCTCGAGCCAAACAACTTTACAGAAAAAAAGGGAAAAAAATACAAAGACCCCTAAGTTAAATAATTAATTTTCACCTGATCTTTATCCATGTACATTTATGTCTTTTCCTACAATTTATTCGCTAAGTACCCGTTAGGCGCTTACTATGTGCCAGATGCTGTGCAAGGTGTGGGAGTCACAGAGGTGAAAAAGACACGGTCATTTAACATTCAGGAAACTTAACACTTCCCTTGTGCTAGATGTTGGGGATTCAGAGATAAAGCTGGAATCCCTGCTTTCACAAAGCTTATAATCCTGCAGGGCTGCAGACAAGGCAAATCAAGGCACTGATGGAGGCATGATCAAGTACATGGAATACAGTGACACCAAGCGCAATAACTTTTAATAGGTACAAGGCTTCATTACATTAATTATCTCCTCATCCTTGCTACAATGCCAAGAGTAGCAGCATAACACAGGTCTTGGCTCTAGTACCTACTAATTTCATGACCTTGGGCAAAGTTCGTAATAATAGTATCTGCCACACAGGGTTGTTATAAGGACTAAATAAGTTAATACATGTAAAGCGCTTGACATATGAGAAATGTAGACATATAAGCCACTAATTGTTAATTGCTATTTTCTTTTTGTTACTCCTACTGTACTGATTAGAATAGCGGTTCAGAGTTGTTCAAAGTAATGCTTGAGGTCACGCAACTAGAAAGTGGTGGCAATGAAGTTAAAGTACCTGTTCTTGACCCAGTGTGGAGTTTTTTTTTTTTTTT